CAGCCTGTTGCTAGACACAGGGGCAAGTCTCTCGGTCCTTCTTTTCAATCCTGGCCTTATTTCCAGCCATCATACCTCAGTGAAAGGAGTCACTGGTGAGGAGGTAATATGCTATTTTTGACAACCCTTAGGCTGTAACTACTTATTAGATCCTTCTTGCATATCTCTGTCTTCCTGAGAAACCACTTTGAAGATACCACCATGTATTACAGCAGCCATTGATATTTTCTTACTAATCTATCCATAACTGTGTAAAGTTTGTAATGTTCCTATCCTATTTCATAAATGGATGTATGTTTATTATTATGTGTTTCCTACAACAACCATTGAGAATAGTTAATGATTTTTCAATAGGTCACTCATGTATAGCTCTATTTATTTTCTTTAGAAGCCACTTTGAAGATACCAAAGTATAGTACAACAACTCTTGATAATCTCCTACCTCTTTTGTCTGTAACTTTTATTTGTCTATTATTTGTCTATTTGTTTTCCTGAGAAACTATTTTGTAGACAATAATACGTAAAATGATAACCATTGATAATTTCCTACCATTTTGTCTGTAATTTGCTAAGTCCCCCCTATTATTATGTTATCCTTCTTTTATTCTTTAAAATTAAAAAAAAAAGAGTGGAGATTTGAGGAAAACCAACAACACTGCATTCAATAAAGGAAAAAATTTTTCTGTCTATTATTTTAATTCAGATTCAGTCCTGTCACACATACAAAAAACTAAATTCTAAAGAATTTTAAATCAATAATAAAAGAAATTATGAAATCTACTTTAAGGAAGAATTTAAATAAGTAGTTAATATCAGTATCCAATGATATCTATGATTTCTTTTTTTTTATAATTATGCAAGTTACTGGTTTGTGATAATATTTCTGAGAATTAATGCAGTTTGGATCTATTAATAAATAAAACTGTGTGGTAAAAGAATCCTATTTTTAAATATGGGTAAACTGTAGTACAGTCTCATCTCAAATTTTAGAGATGGGCAACCCACTCGGGCCCCCCTTCTGTCCCTCTCTTGGACAGAAGCTTTCCTTCCCTCAATAAATATATTCTGCTCTTAAAAAAAAAAAAAAAGTATTCATGTTGTGCTATGACGGCAGCTGTTCCCATTCTCAGGTATGGCACCCTGAGCTGCGGTGACAACTCAGCAATTTAATAAAGCATTTCTCTTTTGAAACTTCAAGACAAAAGACAAAAGTTCTTCATAACCAGTAAATAATAGTGTATTAAAGAAATAGGAAGACAGCAATTAACATAATGGTGTACATAGATTTTAATCCAATGAGCTGGATTTCTGTTCTATCCACCTTTGAATTTGTTTTTTCCCTTTTAAGACATAATGATTTCTCTACACACACTGTAAGCAATCAGTAGATGTTTAGGTGCTTAACAGACCAGGAATTGATTGGTAAGTATATATGTTAAACAGAATTATAGCTTCATTTAATAAGAAAAACCGTTTTTCTGTGCTTTTTTACCATTCTTTTTGATATTCTTTAAAAATTTGTAGCTTTCCTTCCTTTTGAAAGTATTTAAGGCCCTGGCATTGTGGCGCACGCCTATATCCCAGCACTTGTGAGGCTGAGGCAGGAGGATCGTTGAGAGTTTGAGACCAGCCTGGGCTACAAAGTGAGCTCAAGACCAGCCTGAACTGCATAGTGAGACCCTGTCTCAAAAAGACCGAAAAAAAAAAGAAAAGAAAAAAAGAGTATTTATCAGAGAATTCAATTGATAAAGAGCTTAGAATTTTACATGTCCTTCATTTTAAATTTGTCACTTGCATGGAAAAAGTGTTGGCCTCCAGATTTTCTTTGGAAACATCTTTTTAAAATTCATTATGGTTTATATCTAGATGTCCCCCCAAGAGCCTTATAGGCCCAGGGGTAGGACTTTTGGACAGGGATCGGATTATGGGCGCTCATAGCTGACCTGTTGTTAGCAGGTAGAGGAGATCACTGGCGTGGCCTAGAGGGATATGTCTCCCTTTCCAGCCCTTCCCTTTGCTCTCTGCTTCTTCAGAGCCATGATGTGAATGGCTTCTCCTCCACCACATAAATCAGTGGTTTCCAGGGGATGGAAATGGGAGATATGGGTATGACTGTCCACATTTTTGGAGAATCAGCAGAACATGGACTGAAACATGAGCCAAAATAAACCTCTCCTACTTTACTGGGAGTGGGGGATAGTCTCCTACTTTACTGGGGGTTGAGGGACACAACATCTACCTGGCAAGTGCAAGATCCCCTGCTGGGATACTCTGTCCCAGAGGCAAGGGAGATGATTAAGACACTATCTTTGGAGTACTGCATATTTTCACCCATAATTAACATCACTGAGTGGGTGGGAATGAGATGGCAGAGCCCTCTGAGGGTTAATAGATATATGCTAGTTGGCTGGACTGACTAGCTGTCTATTTTCTTGTTAGACAGAAAAGTGGAAGAAGTTCCCTACCACATCCTTGTATGTCAGCTGCCAGATACTCCACCCTCATGGGGTGCATGTCCTCACTGGCATCCTGGCCTGAAGGAGTTGCACGTATGGTCTCCATCCCTGTCCGCCTGAGGTACCTGCTGGCTGCATCAGGAAATGGCTGAAGTAGGAAATGGCTGACACAGGAAATGGCTGAGCTGTGTGGTATTGGTGGAGCTCAGTCATCACAAAGCCACGTGCTTTTCCCTTCATGCTGGTTTTTGGGGATCTAATTCTATCCCCATCCACAGTATGTGATGAGCATCTCCTCATTTGATGATGTGGACACCTCCTTTAACGACTGTGTCACTTACCTCTTTATGCATTCTCTTGGCACTTATTTTGACCCTCTTTTTCAATGGGACCGTCTGCTACCCACTGAAGTATATCATCTTTCACGGCCATGATGGTATAACTGGCAAGACGGAACACTCCCAGAAGAAAATGTAAGAGAAGATCTTTATAGCCTTGGGTTCAGCAAATACTTTTAGGTATGACACCAAAGGAATAAGCAACAAAAGAAAATAACTTCATCAAGAAAATTTTTTAAATGCCAGGGACATAGCACAGTGGCATAGCATCTACCTGGCAAGTGCAAGATCCTAAGTTCAATTCCCGGTACCAAAAAGAAAAAAATTTAAAAATGTAAACTTTGAGGTTTCAGAAGATTCCATCAGGAAGGGGAAGAAAATAACAGTAAGAATGAAAAAAATACATATTTGTAAGTCATAAATGATGAGGGGCCTATATCTAGAATAAAGAACAAAAAGAATGAATAAAGAATTCTTACAATTCAATAATAAATATCCAAGCTACAAATGAGCAAAATATCTGAGTAGACCTTTCTTCAAAGCATATGTGCAAACGGCCAGTGAGCACATGAACAGATGATTGACAGCATTAATCACCCAGAAAACGCAAACCAAATCCACAGTGAGTACATACTCTTACATTTGAAAAGCTACCAAGCCGGGATACAGTTAATGAAGACAGGAGAAACTGTAATCCTCTCACACCGCTGATGGGAATGTGGAATGAATGGCACAGCCACTTCCGGCAGTTCCTCCAATAACACAGAGTTACCACAGAACCCAGCATCTCCACTTCTAGGTACACCTAAGAAGAATACAGGGCTGGGGATGTAGCTCAGCGGCATAAGTGCCTGCCTGGCAAGCACAAGGTCTTGAGTTTGATTCCCGGTCCAAAAAAAAAAAAAGAAGAATACAAATATACTGACCTCACTATCCATAATGTCTCCAAAATGGAAAATAACCCAAGAGTCCACCAACAGATGAGTGGATAAAAAAAATGCATTATATCTCTGCAGTAGTGTCTGACCATGCAGAAGAATGAACTAATCACACATTCTACTATATGGGTGAGCTTTGGAGATGTTTCCCAAATTAACAAAGCCAGCCAAAAATGCTGTACAATTTTATGATTTCTCTTCAATGAAATACCCAAAGTAGATACATCTATAAAGACAGAAAATAGACTAGTGATTTCCAGGGCTGAGGAAATGGGAGCTACGGAATGTGATGCAAATAGGCAAGAAGCTTCTCTTTGTGGTATAAAAATGTTAAGGAATTTGGTAATAGTGCAGAATGCACAGCCTAGTAAATGAACTAAGTGGCACTGAATGTTATACCTTGAGAAGGTAAATTTTATGGTGAATAAATTGTATCTCAAGTGAAAATGAACAAACCAAAGCCAGGTGTAGGGGCACATGCCTGTAATCCCAGCACTCAGGAGGCTGAGACAGGAGGACCACTGCAAGTTCAAAGCCAGTTTGGGCTACAAAGTGAGCTCAAGGCCAGCCTGAACTGCGCAGTGAAACCCTGCCTCAAAAAGAACCCACTCCCAAAAAACCCCCCCCAAAAAAGTAAGTCTGGCCCAGAAATAAAAGTCATCCTAAATCTGGAAGATGCTGAAATTGACTGATACAATTTGCTGTCTCCTGGTTACTAGCCTTTAATATTTCTGCTCTCATTACTTCACCTTTAAAGTCCATTTGTGTTCCTTGTCTCAGCTGACACAACGTTGTGTCCCCCCTCCCTCCCTCCCTCCCTCCAGTCCCAAGGACAATTTCATTCTCGGAAGCCGCCCCTAACTTCACTAGGCCCAATTATTCCTCTGCATCTGGGTTTCCACAGCATGTATGTTCACTTTACTTCGTATTGTGATTACTGGTGGTCCGTGACCTCAAATGTTGACCCAGGGAAGGACACGATTAAGCTTTGTCAAATGTTTGAACGAACAAGACAGTCCCCATACACTCTTCCTTTAGGATGCCATATGAACATAAAAGCTTCTTAGGAGTAGTGGAGGGGTAGAGAAAGCACCAAAGTTAAAAAAAAACAAACAAACATGGATTTGAAGACAGACACGAGCAAGTTGATGAATAAAAAAATATCAAAAGGAAAAAGCTTCAAAAACGGCAATGGGAAGAAAGGAAGGCAGAAAAAGATTGGGATTGAAGGCACAGAAGAGAACTGGGAGCGAAACTTCAAATGCAAAATGAAGTTAATAAAAACTCTCAGGCCCAAGGCCTTTGAGTTGCTGCTGAGCCCTTCCCCGCCCTGTGCTCCAAACTCTCAGTGTCTCAGTAGACCTCTCCCGTCTGGCCCTACGTGCCTCAGATTGATGATGAACAGATGCACACTGACCTAAGTGGTGGGGGCGGGAACTGGAGCTGCGAAGGGGAGGAGTGCAGAGCGGCAGGAAAATCTCTGCTCCCAAAGGAAAGGGGAGTGAACACTGGATGAGGCAAGACCTGAGCTTCTATTCTACATAATACGGAAGCCTGAGCGAGGCACGAAGTGTTTAACTGAGAAGCTGAATCTGAGAAGGGGGCACCAGGCAGGTAAGTTCAGATCAGATACTCTTAGGATCTGGAAAGATATTAATGAGGAGGCAATGGGAAATAGGTACCAGATAGGTGCACAGTTCTGTGGCAACGTTCAAAGAAGGGCAGGGGTTCCGTACTAACTCAGTGATAGAGCACTTGCCTGGCACGCATGAGGCTCTGGGCTCAGGCTTCAGCACCACGCACGGAAAAAGGTAGATGGTTAATGAGAACAATGGGCCAGGGTAGACAGAATGCATCGTGTTTTCCTGGGAGGTTGATTGGGAGAAGGGCATTTTAGAGAACCACTGTCCAGGTGAGGATGGAGAGACGGGTGCATAACGGATATGACTCCCAAGGAGGATGCACGAACCATAACTTACCATTATCCTCAGGCACTGAGGGCCACTGGAAGGGATAGTTAAACTCGAGTCTGGGAACCATGTATAAAAGATGTATGAGTCAACCTCCTAGACACAGCAGGCAGGTGAAGGACTCAGAGACAAAATAGAAATTCACTAGAAAAGAAGAGATAATTTCTCCAATAGAAAGAAAAAACTGAGAAGATGGAGAATTCTAGCCAGAGTACAGCAAAAACAAGGTAAAAGAGTTTGCATCTGAAGGCCAGGCGTGGTGGCGCACGCCTTTAATCTAGCACTCAGGAGGCTGAGGCAAGAGGATCGTTGTGAGTGAGATCAGCCTGGGCTACAAAGTGAGCTCAAGGCCAGTCTGAACAAGGCCAGTCTGAACTGCACAGAGAGACCCTGTCTCAAAAAGACAAAAAGACTTTGTGTTTGATGTTGTGCATTTCCGCAGGCAGAGATAAACATATTTGCTACAATGGGGCTTACAGGAGAGAAGAGGAGAGAAGAGGGGAGGGGAGGGAAGGGGGTTTGGAATCAAAATTCTTTGGTTAAGAAATCAACAACAGTAAGTGAAAGAATGACAGAGAGGTTCCAGTGAAAACTGCCCAGATATGTAATAGGTCAGATATAGCAAATAAAAGCTACTGCCTAAAAATGGAAACCAGGAATAGAAGCCACCATGAGAAAGTGTCAGCGACTGAGAGAATGAAATGGGAACTGTGGTCAGTGATACTCAAGTCTCTGACTCAGGAACACAGCCTGGAAGTTGAAATCCACAGCCAAGGGGGCTGGGGATTTAGCTCAGCGGCACAGCACCTGCCTGGCAAGAGCAAGGTCCTGAGTTCGATTTCCGGTACCGGAAAAAAAAAAAAAGAAATCCACAGCCAAGTTTGAATACTCTCCTTCTGCCCTGTTCCTACACCAAAAAGCATGTTTCCTTGGGGACCCAGAGATGTCTGCTTAGAGGAGACACGCTGGAAAGGAGAGGAAGTCCTAAGGCTGGGGTGGGGTGAAGCCATAGACAAGGGGATTGGGTGTAGAAGTGGGAGGTCTTATGGAAGGACCACAGGATAAACAGTTTCAAGTGGGGTTCCTGGAGGTGCTTGCTCATCCTGGAGTGCAGAAGAGCCAATGGGTGGCCGAGCTGGGGTGCAGACAGATGTCGCTGGGGTGGGGGAGAGAGAGCAGTGTGAGCATGGAGCCTCAGAGCGCCATTGCTTAGGGGCAGAGGATTTTATGCTGATGTCACTGGCAAAGGTAGGCGCATGCAGAGGAGGGTGAAAGGAGCACAACAAATGGCACAAGCCACAGACTAGAAGACAGGGTGAAAGCAGATGTGTGACTGCGAGCCTGGGATTTGCGGGGTACCGGTCTGTGTTCTTTAATGTAACTCCCGTGGTGCAGTGGGAGCACACCTACTGTCTCATTTCTGAACACTTGTTATAAACTCCATCCCTGGCATCAGGAAATAAGACACAGCTCTGAGTCTCAGGGAGCCCATGGCATAGTAGAGCTGGAGAGAGAGAGAGAGAGAGAGAGAAGAAGGAGGGTGAGGGGAAGAAAAGAATACAGCAGTATAAAGGAAATATCGATTTTAGCCATATTGGGGAATGAGAAAAATCTTTCTGCATTAAGAAATTTAGCCTGGTACAGTGACACACACATATACTCCCAGCACTTGGGAGGCTGAGGTAAAAGGGTGGAGAATTTGACATGAGCTTGAGCTATGATGAGACAGACCCTGCTGAAACAAAGAGGAAGGAAGGAAGGAAGGAAGGAAGGAAGGAAGGAAGGAAGGAAAAAAGGAAGGGAGGGAGGAAGGGAAGAAGAAAGGAATATAAAGAGGACAATGGTAATAGAGGAAGCAGAATGCATAAAAGATTACAGAAAAAGAAAGCACAATATTTGAGTAGGGAAACCAGTAAGTGTGTGTGTGTGTGTGTGTGTGGTGAGTCTTTTGGAGCATTATTATATGTAAAAGAACACATAAGGAAATTATTCTTTAAAATATACATACATGCAAAAATACATATATATGAATATTTACATGTATGAATGCATGCATGTAAGTATGCATATGTATTTGTGTGTGAATGTTTTATTAGTAGTACTACCTATCTGTAGTATACTACATTCACCATGGGGAGTTAAAACATGCACATAACACATCTTAGTTCTTTTCTTCTAGCACGCACACCTTTAATCCCAGTGCCCTTGAGCCTAGCTCTGCACCACAAATCAATCCCAGTGTCACATACTCTAGATCCAGCCACCTCTGAAAAAGCCTCACCTACGACTGCTGAGGCTTTGGGGAGACATCTAACACAAGCCATAACACCGCTTAATAAGGCTTCCACAGGCCAAATTTAATATACCAACAGGAAAGCAATTTTTCTCATTTTAAATATCAGAAAATTGTTATTCAGAGAAGACTGTGTCTTGTCCAAGATCAGGCAGTCAATAGCTGATGGAGCAGATCTCTAATGCAGGGTTCTTCGCAAGCCCTCGAAGGTCCTTTCTAAGTGCTATAGTTTCCTTCACGGCTCCATCACATCAGCAATCTGTGCCTGGGGGAAGAGAGCATAGGCTCTACAATACTTCCTACTCCAATCCTACTCTTGGGAAGTCTGCTAACTAAATCCAATTGCTCTTTGGTGGGAAACTGCTGCCCTCTGTGCAGAGCTTGGGGCTTTTGCAGAGTTTGTGACAGTTCATGCCCCCACAGAGATTGTACAGGGTTTTTGTTAGTTTGTTTTGTTATATTGAGATCAACCCAGGACCTTGAGCGTGCGAGGCAGTGCTCTACCACTGAGCTATATTCCCAGCCTAGAGTGTGTGTGGTTTTTGTTTTTGGTTTTTTGGTATTCTGCATGTCACTGATTTTCAGAACCTGTTGCAACTGTGCTGTTGGTAGTGCTTTTTTAATTCTATAGTTTTCTGAAGTCTTACTGCAGTGTAAAGAGTTCCTGAATAAGGATGAACAGCCTATCTGTGGACAGGGCCAATAACTGTGTACTTTGCGCAGAGCCTGTGTGTGTTATTGATAACGTGCCTGTGGGTTAAGCCTTTGACTGTTATAGGGCCTATGAGCATGTATAGACCTTGTGTTTGTTTGCAAGCCTTTATGTACACTCCGTGTCCAAAGTCTGCAGCTATTTTTCCCCTATGATGTAGGTGAGGGCTTTGCAGAAAAATCATTGCTTTTTTATCTGCTAACAGCACAGCTGCTATGAACAACTCTGACACTCGCACAGCAGGCTGCCTCCTCACCGGCATCCCTGGGCTGGAGCACCTACACATCTGGCTTTCCATCCCCTTCTGCACCATGTACATAGCTGCCCTAGTAGGCAATGGCATTCTGATCTGCAACATTGTCTCCCAGCCAAGCCTGCATGAGCCCATGTACATGTTCCTGTCCATGCTGGCCAGTGCTGATGTGTTGCTGTCTACCTCCACCATGCCCAAGACTCTGGCCAACTTCTGGTTAGGTTCTAGCCACATTTCCTTTGACGGCTGCCTCACCCAGATGTTCTTCATCCATTTCCTCTTTGTGGCTGACTCTGCTGTCCTACTGTCCATGGCCTTTGACCGCTATGTGGCAATCTGCTCCCCTCTGAGATATGTAACAATTCTCACGAAGAAGGTCATTGGGAAGATCGTCATCGCCACCCTGACCCGCAGCTTCATCATCATGTTTCCGTCCATCTTTCTCCTCAAGAGACTGCACTACTGCCGGGTCAACATCATTGCGCACACATTCTGTGAGCACATGGGTATTGCCCACCTGTCCTGCTCTGACATCTCCATCAATGTCTGGTATGGGTTGGCAGCCGCTCTTCTTTCCACAGGCCTGGACATCATCCTTATTGCTGTTTCCTACATCCACATCCTCCGAGCTGTCTTCCACCTCTCTTCTCAAGAAGCCCGGTCCAAGGCCCTGAGCACCTGTGGATCCCATGTCTGTGTCATCCTACTCTTCTATATCCCTGCCCTCTTTTCCGTCTTTGCCTACAGGTTTGGTGGGAAACGCTTTCCACGTTATGTCCATATCCTGCTGGCCAACCTCTACGTGGTCATTCCCCCTATGCTCAACCCCATTATTTATGGAGTGAGGACCAAGCAAATTTTAGAAGGGGCTAGGCATATGTTTTCAAATCTTGGGAAAGAATTTAAGTAAATTTAGGGAAATGCTCCCAACTTGCGCATATATATATATATATATATTTGGGTTTTGTTATGGCATCTGTCATACATGCACATAAAATACTTTCATTATGTCCATCCCCACATTACCTTTCCTTGCACACCTTCCCCCTCCCCAGGTCCCTTTCCTCTCATCTAATTCTTTTCTATATTTGTTAACTGGCCTATATTTGCTACACCCTCTTCTCTACATGTCTTTCAATTATCCCCATGTTATTCTCATCCATGTCCCATTTAACTGTGATATTTAAATATGCCATACACTCAGATAAACCTCTGATTTCTTTCTTAGGTCCCCATAACAATATTCACCCACTCTCTTCTACCTATTAGTCAAATTTAATCATCTCAAAAAGAACTAAGGGTAAGATAATTTGCCATGAATTTACCATTCAAGTAGGATTTTTCTCAGCATCTACTTGCACTGAATCCCTAATATGTTCTTAATTACACGTATGTAACTTTAGCATTTATTTGCCAGTCGAACATGTTTCTTGTGGTAACCCCTGAGAACTGTCATATCTGAAAATGTAGGTCCATGAGATAGTTATACTTCTTAATAGTTGGACAAATCTATATTCATATATCTAATTCAGAAATACTAGCTCCACAGCATATGGATGTGGATCTATTTATCATTTTAAATGTAATATCTAATTTCAAAAAACTTTTATCAAATAATCCCAGCCTACCATTACCTATTCCAGACATTTTCCTCAAAAAAGAGCTAATAAAGACAGTGTACTCTTTTCTATTAAAATATGCTTTAATTAAAACATCATATTCATTATTAAATTAGAAGTCAAAATGCCTAATCTAATACCTGTATTATCAGTGAATAGCTAAAGGAAAATATATCTATATATCTATGCCTATATCTATATCTCACTTATCATTAACACTAGGAACTACCCTAGCCTGATGTCCTCTAAGGCCAAATTCAGGCAACACAGCTTGAATTTCACAAGACCAATTCATCCTTGAAAATGTGGTTCATAGGGCCGTGGATACAGCACAGCAGCACAGCACCTGCCTGGCAAGCACAATGTCCTGAGTTTGATCCCAGTACAAAAAATAATAAAATAAAATAAATAAAATAATAAAATAAATAGGAAAGGAGAGGAGAGGAGAGGAGAGGAGAAGAGAGAGGAGAGGAAAGGAAAGGAAAATGTGGCTCACATCTCAGCCCTATCATCCAGCAGTGAAAGATACACCTTTTGAGTTTCTATACCACTTTTCATCAAAGTGCTTGTTTTGTTTGGTCATGAATATTCATTTTTGATTTATTAGCTATCTTCTAATATTTGGTTCTTAATTCCATCTAAAGCAGTACATACCTTGAGGAAAAATACTACTTTGCAAGTTTTTTTATTCCTATTGTTCCAAAGCATCACAACATGTTCTCATCAGATATGCATGGTGTGTGTGTAGACAGAGATTCTTATTATAAAAATTTAGTATTGTTTTTCTATTCTACATGCATTTTTCTTTGAGAGGGTTCTCAGCATTGGGATTCAGTAGCATACAAGGAGAGAATGGGTGCTTTTATTTTTGTCTTCTCTGATAATTTCTACTTTTTCTACATATAGAAAAAATATGATTATTGTACTATTTTCAAATAGATGAACGTAAGCTGACATAGATTGTGTTACTATTAATAATTAAAGGCATCAATTGAATGCCTGTGGAAATTCATTGGTGAACAATGAGATCTCTATCATCATGAAATTCACATTCTGAAGGCAGACACAGGGTGCCAAGTCAGGAATCCCATGGAAAAGTTATTGGAAGCCTGGTGAGTCAATTCTAATCTACCACTACCAGTGAAAAGCCCAGAGAGAATAAAGACACTATGGCATATTTGTAGTTGCGGGGAGCCAAGGGGCTTCTAAATCTAGGTAGGGTGATGGCTAATCGGAACGAAGGCCAGAACCTAGGGCTGAACCCAGGTTTTATTAATTCATCAAGAGGGGAGTGGCTTGGGGAAGTAGTGGAGCTGGGCTAGGTAGAAAGCCTGAAATCACCTCTGCCAGTATACAGAGAGACAGAGAAATGCAGAAAGTGTAATCTGCATAACACAATTCAAGGCAGTATCTAATATTTTGGGGTTGGTGCTTCAGCTCTGACGTGTAACTTTGTTATGCCCTGAGATGTCATGGCCTCTTTCTTGAGGCTCAATGCCAGCTGACAGCATGGAGCATGGCACTCCATCCTGCTAGGCTCACACATGCTTCTTGGGAGGCATGGGATGGGGCAACACTGCCCTGTCACCTTGCTTCAAAGACTACACATCAGCACCTCTGCTAAACTGATTTGCATTGCTTAAAGCCATTTGCAGGGATAAGGAAATGTCCTAGCCAGCTCTGTACACATCAATACATGGACACAGGGCCAGCTCTAGCCAAAATGGGGACAACTGCTCTTCTTTCAAAAACAGTCATCCATGTGATCCTCCACAAGTCACAATGAAGTTTTAGATTCTACCTATCTCACCTTGTAGTTTTTCTCAATAAAACACTCTTGAGAAGGGGGGTCAGCAGACAACCCACTTCCCGGGCCCGCCCTGGACTTCTTAGACAGAAGCTATCTTTCTCTCACTACATTTTTCCTACTCAAAAAAAAAAAAAGTTTTGGGTTCTAGATCTTTATTGGAATTTTGAATCTTCCTCTTTATTAACTGTAACTCTGAGCACATTACCTCTTAGCTTTCTTACCTTTACAATGGAAATAATATCACCTTTCTTTTAACGATTTTATGAAAAATAAATATATACATCTCTCTTTTAAAATTTTTATACATCTATCTTTGAAAAGCACTTAGCATATAAATAAATACTATACAAATGGTAGTTTTACTTGTATTTCTGCTTCAATTATTGCTTATTAATGGTTGATCTCCTACCTGGCAATTAGTAATTGTCCTGAGACCTAAGAATACAAGAAGAAAACAAGAACGAATCAGAAAAAAAAAATTTACAGTAATGCTTACAATAAATAAATTCACCCAAATATTCTTATAATATGTCAAAATTAAATACATTTTAAAGCAAATTAAAGACACTGTTTTAATACAACTATACCACTCAAGATACACAGACTTTTTATTGTTTTCCAAATATACTAGACTTCTCCCTAGCTTTAGGCCTTTATATACATTATTCTGGTCGCCTGAAACATCATTCCCTTGATCTTCGTATGACTCAAAAAAAAATGAAGCAAATAAGCACAGGTTAATGAAAAACTCCAGAGAACTGTTTCTAAATTATACTACAAGTCAAGGGCTCATTTTTCCCAATGTATAAAAGCTCTTTACAGTGTAGAGAAAAAAAATCATAAATCTGTTGAACATAACAGACAAAGAGGAACCTGGTTCAGAGGCACATTTCTATAATTTCAGCCCTTGGGGAGGATGAGATGAAAGGACCACTTGAATCTAGGAGTTCAAGACCGGTCCAAGAAACATGTAAGACCGTACCTCAAATAAACAAAATTAAATGGGCAAACAAGCAAAAATCCCAAAGATATAACTAGAATATGCTTAATTTACTATAAGAGACAATACAATAAAAACTACACCAAGATATCATTTGTCAAGTTGGAAAAGATGAAAAGAATTAACTCTGTGTTAGTCATGTTAGAAATCTGATCTTCTCACACTTTGCTTATTAATGTACAACATAATGGAATTTCTGTGGAATTTGGAAATACCTATCAAAATTCTTATACAATGATCCTTTGGCCTAGAACTCACACTTACTTGAAATTAGATTTCAGAATGCCTTGATATGGACAAAATTATCTCTCCACAAATTTAGTCATCGTGGAAAAAAAATGTACAACATAAAAATATTTGAAACAACCTAAATACAGCGGTATCTTGATACTTGTCATTAACTGGTTCCAGGAAGTGCCCAAAATGATGAGTATCAAAGTTTTGGCTGGAAAGCAATTCACAAGTCATCAGACACCAGCAAGTTCTAGCCTGCCATCAAGTACCAAACAAAAGTACCAAGTAAAAATATGGACATCAATCTATCAAGTCCAAATTTAAGGAGTATCAAAGCAGGTGATTTCCAAGGTATGACAGTAAGTCTCAATTCCTAAGTTCCAAACCCACACCCTTCTGCTCGTTAGAATTGTAAGAACAGAACTTGATAACTCTTACCATGTTATACGAAGGCTTTTTATTTAAGTGCTGGGAATCAAACCTAGCACCTTACGCATGCAAAGCAAGAGCTCTACCACTGAGCCACATCCCCAGCCCTGCATAAAAGCTTTCAGAGTCACACAGACTTGGGTTAGAACTGCAGTCACTATATGCAATGCATACTAGCCAGCTGTTTTTCACGACACAATGAATTTAACCTCTTTAAACCTCAGTTTCATTCTTAGTTTTAAAAATTTCATCTATTTCAGAGGTTGTTTTGATTGTGAATTTTGGAAAGCAAAATTTTTCTAATACAGTACTATTTCAGTAAAAGTAGCCTAGTGGTGGTTAGAATTAAAGATAAATTTTGACCTTTTTTAAGTGAAATGCAGCTTCCTGGAAGAAACACTTCAAGAGCCTTGCCTGGGGCTGGGAACGTAGCTCAGTGGAATTGTGCCTGCCTGGCAAGCACGAGGTCCCCAGTTCAATTCCCTGTACAAAATAAAAAAAATTTAAAATAAAATGAGCCTTGCCTGGCAAATGAAAGGCTGAGAACCCAGGGAGAGATGGAATAAGGAAGATCTGATTCAGAGGGTATAACTTAAACTATACAGTGTATTAGTGTAGTGTAGGATAAACTACACTACAGTTTCCCAAAATGTAGCACAGTTTACACAAACACTACCTAGGGACTTGAGACATTTTTTTTTTATCTTTCCAAGTCTTTCTCATTTCTTCCTCTAACACTATCTAGAGAGTTATATTATTATCCTCAAATATGCCCAAATGAATGATGGTTTAGGGGAAGAAAAACTATTTGTCCTTCCTCCTACTTTCTCCAACTGGGAGTCTGACAATCACACGGACAAAAGACAGATAAACACAAACAACAAATGCACCGACATGGGCAATGTTTGATGTTAATAAACATGGGAGAAACTCAGTAACAAATAGCTCAAAGGGTGGTGAGAACTTGGGCTCATACAACATCCTCATGCAGAACACTACATTTTTACATAGGTAACAAGACAAAGGAAGAGGTTTTAGGCTGCACAGGGGGTCAACCTGTGGAACAGTACACAGTGGGAAATAATGAAGGATGAGGAGTAATTAATAAGGTTCACTTACGTAGACATTTTTTTGTGTGACCTCGCTGGGAACAGGTTGTTATCCCTGTGCTGGTGTAAGATGAAAATCAGGATTCCTTGGGCTGGGGATTTAGCTCAGCGGCAAAGCGCCTGCCTGGCAAGCGCAAGGTCGTGAGTTCGGTTCCCGGTACCGGACAAAAACCAAAAAAAAGAAAATCAGGATGCCTTAACCAGGGGAAATAATGCTCTGCTTCTAGACAGCTGGGGGAGGGCAGAGAGCTCTTTCGGCATTTTCTTTTGAATCCTCTGCCTTAGGCTTGAAATACTTGTATTAGCCTTTGCAGGTGGTAAACCTCTGTGATCTCAGCACTCTAGAGGCAGAGGCAGGAGGACAGCTATGAGTTCTAGGCCTGCCTGCGCAGCCAAAACTATATATGGATACCCTATCACAAAACAAAACAAAACAAAAGAAAGCAAGACAACTCCTCCTATCAGAGTAGCATATTTACAACCTTACACTATCCAGGCTGTTCTAACAAAATACTATAAACCATAAGCTAAAACTACAGAAATTTATTTCTCACAATCCTGGAGGCTGGAAAGTCCAAGGTCAAGCAGATTTAATGTCTTGTCAGGACCCTCTTTCTGAGTCACAGATGATATCCTCCTCCGCTGTGTACCATACAGTAAAAAGGCTCTTTCCTGGTGACACAATCACTTTGGAAAGGCCCCACCTCCTTATGCCATCAACTGCTGATCAGGTTTCAATGAATAACCTTTGGCAGGAAAGGTGGGGCTAGGGCCTGAGGGGTGGAGGGTGGGGGTGTTACTCAGATCACTGTGGAACCCGTCCAATGGCTCTATCATTTCAACTTGACATACGCTTCAGGAGAATGTAATTGGAAAAAAAAAAAACAAAAACAAACCAGTAAGTAAAAGCCAAATGTTTCTTCGCCTATCCTATTCCCACTTTTCCAAACGTCATTGTTAGTCCTATAACAAATACAAAGGATTTCAGAATAACACCATTTTTTGAACTTTCACGGCCCACTTCTTTATTTATTTATAATAATTTGCCTTTGAGAAAAATAAATGCAATTTTTTTTTTTTTTTGTCTTTTTGAAAGAGGGTCTCGCCATGCAGATCAGGCTGACCTTGAGCTCACTTTGTAGCCCAGGCTGGTCTCAAACTCACAACAATTCTCCTGCCTCAGCCTCCAAGCGCTGGGATTACAGGCATGCGCCACCCAGGCCAGGCAATAAATGCATTTGTATTTCTATGTTCACATCAATTGTGAGTGGAATGAAGCCACTCTGTGCTACATGTTTGATTTTAGCCAAGTCTTGGAAAGTGCTTCTACCTTTCCATACCTTCCTTCTTTTGTCCTCCACCCTTCAGTCTCAGAGCCTCGATGCCCCAAAGCAAGCAGAACCTCGAAGATTTAATTTAGAAAATAGCTGTTAGTGAAGAATAAAGGAGGAGGCGACCTCCTTCTGCATCTCTTGACACTACCTTGAGAACCAGTGCTGCCCACAGCATCTACACAGACCACATCTTACAGTTCTAGAAGGACATTAAGAATCAGCCAAGAAAAGGTCCTATGTACTGTGGTCTGGGTCAGTTTTCAACCTAGAGGGCTGGGGATGTAGCTCAGTGGCACAAATGCTTGCCTGGCAAGCGCAAGGTGCTGAGTTCAATTCCTTGTACCAAAAAAAAAATAGAAGTTGAAAAAAAAACAACCAATCAAGCTTTCAGGGGCTGGGGATTTAGCTCAGCGGCACAGCGCCTGCCTGGCAAGCGCAAGGTTGTAAGTTCGATTCCTGGTACCAGGGAAAAAAAAAAAAGCTTTCAACCTAGAAAGTCCAGCCATTTCTTCATAAATCTTTAAAGCTCAGGGTATTGGAGGTGGTTCCTATACAGAAACTCATAGGAATTGTCAGGAAGCACTATTAACATCTAGAAATGAGAGACAAGATGACTGATTTCCTCACTGTGGAATGCTGGGTGCTGAGTAACAAACCCTCCAGTTATTATCTGGTTCTGTAACGGTGTGCTCCATTGATTGTATTTGGTTAACTTAGGTCTAAGCTCTATTTGCAACCACATAGATTGTTTAAAAAATAATAATAATGCAAATGTTTCTTGTCTCATATTCAAAATGATTCCTGTTCTTGGTAAATGGAAATTCACTTTATCTTATAAGGAATTAAAATGTGTCAAATGCTCATTCCCCAGTAATGCCACACAAAGAATCTATTCATAAGACAAAGCAGAGTTTTAATTAACAGAGTAAGGGGCAGTCTTCAAAGGGAAAAAGCAAAGTTGACATATTTATAAAGAAATGGTGAAACCCTGTAATCCCAGCACTTTGGTGGCTGAGGCAGGAGGATCACTGAGAGCTTGAGGCCAGCTTGAAATGCAAGACCAGTGTAAACTACAGAATGAGACCCTGTCTCAAAGAAGCAAAAAAAAAAGACTAATCTTGTTTAAGTTGGTTCTGCAACTTGGAGCATTAGTATTAGATAAGAATAACAGTTTAGAATTAATTAAACAGCAAGTGTTTAAAAAATATTAAGAAGTAAACTATTGTTTAATGTTATCTGTTAAAGACTTGAACATGTTGATGTTCATTTAAATGTACCCCTAGATTGAATAATAAAGTTATTTGGAATTTTTATCTCCTGGTCAAGAGCTTCCTAAAATGGTAAATCATACCAACAAAGACAGTAGAATAATAAGGTTTATTAATGCAGGAAGTGAACTGTATAGGAAGTAAATTTTAGCTTTTATTCCTTAAGTCATATTCTTATTTGCACTGATGTTAATGTTGTGCTGGTATGCTCATAAATACATCACTGATGTGTGTTTATTGTGTATCTGTATGAATGCTGTAATTTTACCTGGATTTCAAATTCTTTGGGGGGGGGTACTGGGAATCAAACTCAGGACCCTGTGCTTGCTAGGGAGGTGCTTGTGCCACTGAGCTATATCCCCTGCTCTAGGTGCGGGCAGAATGACTAATCCCAACAGCAGGCTAAGAAATTTTATAAGAAGGGTGACAGAGAATAAAGAATTGTCATCTGGAGAGTCAAGAGTTAGACCAAGACAGAAATATTTCAAGATTTTGGCAATATAGGGAATTCTGCTGGTGATTAACTGAATTTCAGGTTGTCCACTAAAAAATGTCAAAAGTTGGAAAATGGCATAAA